ATGTAGCCCACTAATCCTTAGCTGTTGCAACAAAGGACTGTTAATCACAGATGTCACAGAGATGCGCAGCGCTGGTGCACCTTTTCTCATACCAGAGCTGGGGGGTTGACATGAAGCTATCAGGAACTTATCTGAACAGACAAAAGGGGATGCTTCCCTATGTGTATAACATAGAGCCTCCCATGTTAAAGCAAGTCAGGATGTAGGGTGCAAAAATTCTAGACGTTTAAGGGAAGAGTGGGAAAAATTTGTGGAACAGAAATATTAAACAAAACAAATAATAAAAGAAGACTAGTTTTGGAACCTGAGTTTCAGTTTGAAGTTTTGGAGACATTTCTGATGAAGTTTTACTAAGAAACGTCCTTTTTAAAATGGTACCCTAAGCATTTCCCAGCTGTCAGCCCAGCTCCTTGGGTGTAATATGGTAACTGTAGGCCTAGGGCATCCTGGAACTGCCATTGCAGCATTGCAGCAGAGTTGGTTTAAAGCCCTTTGGAAATGAATACTTATCAACAGTTTGTTTTTTGTTTTTAATATTTTTATATATATTTTTAAATAATTTCTCTTCAAATTATTAATCCCTCTGATGAATACACAAAGCATCTTATTAGAAAGAAATGTTTATTTGTTGATTCACCTGTGTTCTGCAATTTAGCTGCCCTATGCAAGTTGGTATAAAGAACAGGTTTCTTGGAGTTTGGTATGTGATAATTCATTTCTGAGTGGAACAAGGCTTTCAGGGCTTCAAACATAACATGAAGAAATAAGGTAGTGATTGGCTGTTGCCGTGATTGGTACAAATTCACAAAGAAGAGCTTATCATTTTGCAGCACTCTCACATAAAGACCATTCTTTCATAGACTTATCACGGATGAGTCCATTATATTTTTATGGAAATAATTTGTTTCGGTTTCTTTTTTGCATTTGAAATACTTGGAAACTGTTTACATGAATGTTTCATTGAGTACTGTGATAGCATTCATTTGCTATTCTAAATTTTACACCTATTTTGCCTGTCTTTTTCTTTTTAGTGCTAGAAGATAAGACAATCAAGTTCAGTAAACAATTCTTAAGAGCTTATTAATATGTATCAGGAAAAAATTACTGCAGTTCTCAGGACTGATTCCGTACAAGGAAGATATACCTCATTTTAACATGCTGTTTGATGTCATTTGACTCCATGAAATTTCTCCTTTTACTTTACTTAACGAGAGTAATTTCTATTATCTATGTAGCAACTTAAATTACATGTTACTGAGCTAAAAAATAATTGGGGTCATTTTATCAGAAATGGCTGATGCATTACTTTTTTCTCTGACTTGCAGATTTGGGGCTTATTTACACTCTAGATATTTACATCACTTGAGCTACACAAAATATCTTTCAAATGGAATCAAAAGTAATGTTAGGATTCATTTAAACCCAGTATAGGACAGGGTATCCTCAGAACGAGTAAAGATTGTACTGTCAATGGTTCCATTAGTTCTGAAATTCCACCAATGTCCTGGGCATGAGAAATTCAGAACTATCTTTCCACTACTGACATTTGAGCATAAAATTCTATAACACAGTAAAGTAGATATCTATTTAATGGAATTTTTAAAATATTTTTTTCAAAAATTATATAATGCTTTTTTAAACTTTCATACTTTATTTGGGCCACACTGTTCTTTTCTTATTTTTAACTTCTCAATTCCCTTTGTTCTTCCATCTTCTATGATATTTTTAAGGTACTTTCCTCTTCAAATTGAGCATGTAACTTGATGCTTAAAAAAAAAAAAAAAAAAGACCTGGAGGCATCTGCCTAAATCCCTTTCTTTCTCACTGCACTGTTATGTAACATCATAAACTAGGGTACTGTGAAGTGTATCTGCCTGAGTTTTATGTAGGGAGATATGCATACACTGGGGTAAGTGACAAGTTTAAGATACATTCCCTCACTTGCACAAGTGGCCCTAGCCTGATTTTCTGAAAGATCCTCTTGCCAGCCTCATTTTCACCTGATGACCACCATTCTCCAGCAGCCCTTTCTACTTTAGCTATAGCTAATTGAGGTTTGCTTTTCTGTCTCTGCAAAAGCCCTTTCCATCTCTGTTTTCTGCTTCCTTTTAAACTCTTCCTGTAACTCCTTTCCTACCTGCCATCAGTGAAAGTTTCATCATTGTTTTCCATCACATCAGGTTATATCAGCTCTGCTCCTGATCCCTTTTTCTCATCTCACTTCTGTCCTTCTTGGGCTTCTATAACTCCATCTTCTCTGGTATCTCCCATCACTTCATAGTGTCCTTCTGATGTCATCTATGTCAGCTGTCATCTCATCATTACCAGTTCTCAGCCTATCTGGTGTTTCTTCTGGCATTAGAATAAATAACTAAATCAGATCTCTTCGTTATCTCTTCCAAGCCTTCCCACTACTTTCTGATTTACAGCTATCTGCTCCTTATACTTCCAAGTCGTGTTTAACTGAAAGCTCTTTCCACAACCCTACATCAGTATTTTAACAGACCCCTCTATTATGTCACTTTTGCGTGTTTGGCCCAGGCCTGAGCCAAAGCCTTTACTCTGCTAAACTTTTAGACACATTTTGTGTCAATCTTGGTGCATGTTCCGCATGTATCTCAGCTGAGAGATGTGATTTAATGTCTGGTTGTGGGGATGCCTAGAAAACTGTGCACCCAGTAGCCCTGCTTTAAGCATTTCAATTCTTTTAGTTAACAGAATGAGCTGAACTGAATCAAAAATGTGTTATATATGATAATGAGTTTATACTGTTTGGTCTGTCCCCATCAAAGATCTGTTTCAGAGGTGTATATTTTGCTTCAGCACCACATTACATATTAAATTAAACACCAAGCCAGTTTTTTGTTGTTGTTGTTGTTCTTCCACTGGAATCCCCTTATCTTAACTAAGCTCAAATTATGTTGCTTCTTATAAGTAGACCCGAGAGAAACTCAGAGTCACTTACTGAATGAAAACATTATTCACAGTTGATCCTGAAGCTGGGAGGTTTCCATTTCAAAAGGCTGATTCTGAATTTTTAGTGTTAGTTTTTTAGAGGTGATTTTGTGATTTTTCCTTCTCTCTAGAGGTGCTGCTGTATGCTTTGTTTTCGCCCTTTTACCACAAAGTTCTCTGTTGGAAATTTTCCTATTGCTCTGCTTCAGAAGAGTTCTGTCTTATAAATTCATGCTGCTGTAATGGCTCAATCTATCACTCAGCAAACAGAGCTGAGTACTTGATAGAATGAACTGTTTTAGAAAAAGTCTTGTAATAAATTGGGAACAAAACAAATGTCTAAATATAATATGCAAACTCGTGGTTTCCAGTTTTTCTTTTTGAAGTGGGAATGCCAGCCTTCAGATGGTATGGAAAATTGTTTAGATGTTGTAAAAATCAGAGGAAAACACAAAAATCTTTGAAGACTTTTTTTTCCTGCACATCATAGTTTTTCATGGAAAAGAACATATTTATTGTAAGTTATTCTTCAGTGTCGGTTTTCCTTACGCAGGTTGTATTGTCAACACTTCCATGGCAGAGTTATGAACTAATATTCTTCCTTATGTGGAGAGGTTGACCACTGATCCAAGTCCACTGTCATTTCTTGTAATGTTAGAAATGTAACCTGTGTTCCTGCTATTCCTAGGCAGTTTGTATGCTGTGTACTTACCATCTCTGGCAGCTATTCTTAGCAAAATCTACTTTTTAACTTTTTTTAATTTGCTTTTTTTTTTTCCAGATGAAATGTACAGTGTCATAGATTTTATTATTTTATTATGTCGTAATGTTGCATTTTCAAGGATCTGCCTCCTCAGTCATGCTGAAGCATGATTGATTCACATGGATTCTGGGTAAATGTCAGAGTTGAGAATTATGGGAAGTTTTGATGACCTGGGGTCAATAGCTGCAAACCAAAGGAATGTACAAAATAACAAAGTGGAATATGTGTATTTTGACATCTTCCTATCTGAATAGTACACTGAGGCTTTTTTAATTCACTCAAATTTTTGGAAAATTTAAATGGGTTCTGAAATTAATTGTTCAGCAAATATTCATCTGATAAAAAAAATCCATCACATGCAAAAAGGGAAGACATTTCTTGTTTTGAATACAGGACAAAACTGCAATTGTAGCCATTGTGATCCTCATCCACACGGTCTAGCTTGAAGTCTAGGACTTTGCTTACTTTTAAAGATATTAGAAAAAATGTCTTTATTAATGCCAGTCACCACTGTTTCCTCAAGAAATGAGAGTTTTAAGGGCACTGAATATTTGAGATTTAGTCCTTTGTCTGCTTTTCTGTAATGTAGCTCTGGGTTCATAAAAGCAGAAGAGAAAGAAATGAACACTGTCAAGAGAAATACCCCTAAGCTTTTCAGGAAAACCTATGTGGAATTTGTTTGAAAGCTAAGAAGGCTACAGGTTGCATATTGACAATTATTTCCATGAAAATATTTCCCTAGTCAAAAATGAAAATATTTTTAGCAATTAATTTGCTAAATTTTTAGCAATTTGAAAGGAATCAAATTTGACCATCTCTAAACTGCATTTTCACCTGTATCCTACTGCATGTTGAGTTACAACTGATTTTATTGCACGTTCTAGCTTGTTATATTCAACATATTTTCATCTTAACATATTTTTTTCTTCCTACTGATTGTCTCCAGCCATTACTAAACCAGCTAACTAGTCTTTGATATTGTATACTGCGTTCTTTCATGAAACAGGATAGCACTTTTTTTTTTATGGTTATGAAATTAAATTCTTATTTTAGGATTGAGCCAGTGCCTCAAACTTCTCCCCAGATGAATTCTTGTCTATAGACTTTTCAACAGTGTTATGGCTGCCTATAAGTATTTTGATTTTGGGTTTTATTTCAGTCTATCACTTGTATTTATAAAATACATCTTCAACATTGAATGGTCTGCAGAATATCAGGAAGTTTTTGTTTCTAAATATAAATTACGTCTCTCCCTCTCTGTTTTTATTCTTTATTGCTCCAGTTAGTGTGCTGAAGCATGACAAGAGCTCAAACTCGGCAAACTTCCAAGATGCAGAGGGTGCACCTGACAGATGTGTCTTAGAAGAATCTGAGACTCCAGGTGAGAACCATTTCAAGGCAGTTACCAAGTATCATGTGATAAATCTGGCACAGCTTTTGGGTCGGTAAAAAAGGCACACTGTAATGCTGTTTCCTTTTTAGCAGCTGCAGTGTCAAATTAACGGTCACCTCTAGGGGTCACAGTGTTATCCTTTCCTCTTTCATCAAGAATTCAGGTCTTAGAAAGGATAAGGTCTTTATGACCAAAAAGAAAGCTGACACAACTAGTTCATTATAATTAGTTTTGGACTACACTTCTTGTTTAATATATATGCGATGTCTGACCCTTTGAAGGTAGAATGAGGTTATGAAAAACTAGAAGCACTGTATATGCTGCAGTTAAACTTAGCAGTGGACATTCAAATACTGTATCTCTGGAGGAAAGCAAATTGGTAGTTTTAAATAGCTTGATTCTTTTCTCTAAATCAGTTCACAACCATTATTTCATTTTAATGACTCTTAACATTGATTCAGTTAAATACAAGAACATCCATAAAGTGCATTATTTTTGGTGTCTAAAAGATTTATCTTCATGTACTATCATTATCTTCCTAGTTATGGAATATCTAAGAAATTCATTAAATGAAACCCAAGGGGAAACAAGTATGAAGTACATCCAATCACAGCTGATTAAAACATTCTATGCAACTAAATATTAAAATCTTACAGTCTATGGGCTTAATCCACATACACCATATATGAAACCTGCACATAGTACTCATTAACGAAAGAGTTAAACATCTTTCTTCACTCAGTATTTTCCTCCCCTGCTTTATCTGGTTTCTGTGTACCCTCTTGCATCTTTGTGTGCTGATCCGTGTATCATATTTTTGATTCATCGTCTCTGTGGCCTGTCAGCTTAGTTAAGAGATTTCCAAATCTTGCAGCCTGTGCTGACAGGGGGCAGCTGCCAACAGTCCCCTGATCCTTCCCCAAGGAACACTGCTGAGATTTAATTTTCAGTCAAAGGGTGCAGTCTGAAATCCATGTCAGGTCCCCTAAGTCATCTCAGAACCCAGAAAGGACCCCTGTCTGGGGGATTATATTTCAGCACACTCCACTCCTCCAAGATTCCTTGGGAGTTCAACTGCCGTCATATACCTGATTTGAACTACATTCCTTTTTCATCTTTTCCACAGAAATGAACACAAGTATACGTTAGAATAATTGAAACCAATGAATTGTAAATTTGTATTCATTTTAAAGCCATGTTGGCTTGAACTCACTGCTGTACAGCAGAAGGCAGTATGAGATTTAGAAAGAAATATGTAATCTACTTGGGAAGGAGAGCCATGTAATTTCTTTGCCATGACCACCTCAAGCTGTTTCTGGTGCATGGTGCATCCTTCAGAAACCATCTGTACAATGGTTTCTACAATGATCCTGTGTGAAAGTGTGTGTTGCCCAAGATCTGTTCCAAGGTCTGTTCTAAGGTGAAAAAGAATTTCAGCAATGTGATGTGAAAGTGTTGAGGTGAGAATTAATGTACATTAAAGATAACATTAATTTGAACCTTGATTTAAATTATTATGCGTAGCAAAGTGCACACATTTGGATGGGAACTTGAATACCAATTCTACATTCTGCATGTCTATGTGAAGTAATGGAAAGGATAAAAAACTATCAGGAGGTGAATGTTGGCTAGCAAAAATACATGTTGATAAAGCATCTAAACTTAAAAACTGAGTTCCGTGCGGTCCATCTGACATCATTAAACTGGTAATAAACAATGAATTACTCTGGCTTTTGTTTCTGTCCATTCCTGCATTTTAAGACATCTTGTCTTATAGGTCTGAAAACCTCAGGAGATTTCACTACTGGTCTCACTGCTTTCCACTGAGAATTTGTGGCTTGGTTGTCATGGAGACATCGTATTTCTCCAAGAATTGCTCATATTGATCCGTGGACAGGCGTAAATGGCCAGGCGAATGTGAGGAGTAAAGGGGGTTGGGCAGTACTATAAAATGACCAGAGGTTATGGGTCGGAAATAAGCTCATAGCAAACACTTAGGTAAAGAGAAAGAAACAGTTTCATTTTGTTTCAGGATTTCGTTTTTGCACTTTATGCCATTGTCTTCTTTCACTATAGACTGAAAGAAACTTGTTAGTCACTTGTCATGTCAGATCTTTGGTGCTTGTCCTGACACAGCTGTCAGCCTTCCAGCTCTGTGCAGTTCAGGGACACACAACAAAGAGCCAGGAACATGAATTATTTATTGCTCCTTGTGCGGATGAAATTCTGTGATAAGAAATTAAGACACTTCTGACCGAAGTGCTTGTTTGAAAGAAGAGATTTAATAACAGACTACATTCACTTAAAACTTACTACTTACTTTTAGTAGCAAACATTGAAACAATAATATGGCATTCAGTTGGGTAAGATTTTCTCTAGTGTTTCTCAGGTGTTTTGACTTTGAAATGGATCTCGGAATTTAAGAGTGCCTGGAAGGTCGGCATTTGATTTGGTGAAACCTGTGAATTTAGCTCTCTCTCATATTCAGTGTCAGGACAACTGACAATCATTTATAAACTTTAACTAAAGAGCTGTCATTATGTTTGTTTTGCAGACTCTGTTGCATTTAGAATATGTTATTATATGTGCAAAAGTGATGTTAAGAAATATCTTCACTTTATTATCTCTTCTGATGAGGAAAAGATGAAAGTATAACAGCATACCAGAAAGGAACTCCAAATATTTCTAGACACGGTTCCTTGTTGCATCTCCTACCAGCATCAGTGAGGCTGGAGTACATAGCCATTAGTAGACATATCTGTTTACTGTGCTTTCTACCGGTGAAAAGTGCAGCCTCTAACCTTGACATAAGAGTGAAAGTTATTTTCAAAGTGATCTAAATTTTCTAAATCACATAAAGAGTACTCTGCTTATTTTACTTTCACACTCTTTATATTCCTGTACATGTTCTTACTGCTCCAGAGATGGGCCTCCAGCAGTCATGGAAAAAAAGGCCTGTACTCAGATGGCAGGAATCCATCTGACTAACCAAGACCCCAATCTGAGATTTACCTGTGATTTCTTGTATTCAGTGTGTGATCCAAGCTACGCTTAGGTAGGAAATGAAACCCCTCAACCTGCACTTTTCTCTTGGATAATTCACAGCAAACACTTTTCATGTGTGATGGACACAGGTAAATGTCAGACTGCAGTTTCTTGTCTAAGTGAAATAGATTTTAGTTTCTCCCTTCATGTGCCTACAAGCTGCCATTATCTGTGATAGTGGCTCACGTCTATTTAGCCCTCACACAGAGGAGATACTGGGCTTCTCTCTCAAATGCCTAATAGTAGGTTTATCACTGCCATTTTCCCTACATGCTGAGGACTACTTCTGTTTGATATGCAAAGCCTTGGCTTTTCAAACTCTGCTCTGGCCTTGAACATAATAATCAAATAGGAATTGCAACAGAATTTTGTAGAACTTTTAATCACATTAAACTGCTGCAAAGAATTCACTGCACCTTAGAATGGTTCTTCAGTAGAAATAAATATTCATAGCATTGTTTTCCATTTCAGCAGTCATTTTTTCTGCTCTTACAGAAACCGAGAAAGAATCTGAAGCTGATCAAACTTAGATGTCTGAGTTCTATGTCTGAGCTATTCACCCAAATATTCTTATGTAAACAGTGATGGAAAATTCACAACCCTAGAAGGCAGATAATCCTATTCGTAGGGCATTGCTTAAGAGTTAAGGGTATTGAAAGTGCTCTGAATTTTGTCAGTCTGAATCTGAGAGGAACATAGCAGGAGTTTACACAATTGCAGATGTTTTAGTTTTCATATGTGCTGCAGTCCCATTAAAGAAGCTTCTGCAAGCATAGCACTCATGAGATTAAAAAAACAGATTTGAGTGGAAGTCAGAAGGAACAATATAGGCACAGATGCCCCTTACCTCTTTTTTCCCCCAACAGAGATATTGCAGTAGATCAAGCAATAGGTTGTTGCTTTCTTTGGTAATGGAGGAAAATTCAGCTTGATCAAGCAAAACAAAGCAACAACTGAAAGCTGTAGATTGGAATTAAATTTTTTTCTATCTTTTGGATGAAAATCGTGTAAACAGTAAGAATGTATGTATGGCCTTCAGTAGGCAGGAAGTTTGGCTGAGTCAGCTGGTCCCTTCTGCAGCTCGTGATTGCTCTCTGTGATATCTTCACTGCAATAACATTGTAGATATTAATTTTTTTCCTTCTTCTTTCAGGACAGAATGTGATTCTGATCATATGACAGATAACAGTGAAAATACAGTTTTCACAGTCTGCCATAGTTGCATGTCCTAGGTAGACCTTGACACAGAGATGGGAGAGATCTTTGACTGCTCCTAAAGTACAATCTTTTAGAGGCTGAACTGCAGGAAATAGAAATGAAAATGTGGAGATATAACAAGATCAGATACTAATTAGCTGAGTATGAAATGCTAGTGTCTGGAGATAATTGCAGAAATTAGGCCCATAAGAATTTCACTGTATTGAATGTGTTGCTGTGTCCCATCATCATTCAGCATTGCTAGTATTTGTTTGTTTGGTTTGGTTTGACCTTGTATTTGAAACTGTAAAACCAGAAGATTATATAGTTGACAACAGGAAAATGTGTCTCTCTTTATGTCTAAGACATAGATAGGCAGATAGATGACAGACAATAGGACAACCTGAGAAGATAGCCATTAGGCTGGGAAAGAACAGTGTGTTTCATGTACTCATAAAGAGTGCTGAATGTATATAAGCAGTGCTTCTAATTTAAGTAATACTTTAAATTCAGGTTGTAAATACATAAATATATATGAATTAAATGGGAGAAAGTCATGAAGCTAAAAACTGATGACTGAGATTACTCCTTACAAATTTAGCTATTAATGCCTTATTAATAAAGCTTCTTACTACTACTGTTTACAGCTAACACTGGATTGTTTCTATTGAAATATATATATATATAATTTGAAAATGCTTTTTCCATAGGAAATGCAAATCCTCTGTTAGATATAAACAGAAATTATTTTTTGTGTTTCTATTAGAAAGTGTTTCATTCAAAACGAAAAGGTGAAGACGAGAGGAGGACTGTTTCACAGAAAAACTCTGAGGAAGGCTATGCATTCTCTTAAGCTACTTTGGATTCCATATTTCCTCATGTAAATTGCAATTACGATGTGAAAAGAATAGAAATCTTCTGGATGTCGATTTTTTGGTTTTTTAACACCACTGTGCTGATGCTGAGTCTTAATTTCATCACAAAAATATAGATTCTAAATCTACAAAAAGATTTTCAAATAACTTTTTTCTTTTTTTTAACAAAATATGTTTGTTTCTTTTCCAGATGACATGAAGGCACATCCCTGGATATCTAAGGTGTGCTCCTGTAAGGTGTGTTAGAAGACCCCACTTAGCTGAAAGAATACGAAGATGCACAAGAGCAGCCAAGGCATAAGATAAAGGTGGAATGGACATGGGGTGGCTTACTGTGGTTATTATTTTATACCTTCATTTTCAGAAGAAGTGTCTTCCATAATGTCAGCTGCTCTCTGCTGATTTACTGAATTCAATTCACACTTCTCTCACTAATAGATTTACAGTTATTCAATTTAATTTGATATTTCTAACATAGAAAATACTGAGTCCTTATTTTAGATGTTTTTCATTGGCTACAGCAGTGATTCCAAGTACTGATTGACTGTAAACTTGCTTCAGTTTGAATATTCTTTTGAATGCAACTAATTTAAATAATCAAACTTATTTTTTTCTCTCCTTTCTTCTCACTTTTATTGCCAATAGCATTTTGACACTAATAGAAAGTATTTGGCTAATTTGAAAAAATAGAAATTTTTTTTTATTATTATTTAAATGAAAATGCACTGAAATATTTAGAAACAATAAAATATAAACAACTTTGTGCTCACAGGTCTGCATGGGAAATTGATTTTAAGGCTGGTCATGTCTAGCATCTGAACTTTCCTTTTATACTGCCAGCAGTATAATCTGAATAAAGGTGCTCTGATATGAAAATGGGGGAAGCCAATCTGAGTTCTCAACTGATGCACTTTGTTGAATTGCTGTTTGTGCTCATGGGGAAAAGAAGATACACATCTTTGTCCTTTAAAAAAAAAGATTGTGTTTGGAAAATATTTGCGGTTCATGAGACTCATATATCATGTAGAGTTCTGAGGGATTTCTGCTGGTCTGCTTCTCTGAGCAGCACATTTGCTTTCTGTATTATCAATAGTAGGAAGGCTAATGAAGTCAAAGAGACTTGAAGATGGCATTGTTTGGATTTGTATGATGGTGGAAATCATAGCCTGATATTATGCTTCCTGTTATGTTAGCCATAATCTGCCTTATCTAGAAAATTGGATTTCTTTAGTGCAACAAGATCCTCTGGCAATGAATCCTTGTCCTCTTTGTGGGGAAATGTCGTGGCTGTAGGTGTGACCAAACCAGGTTGCTGTTATTACTGTGGCTTGAATTTGACTGCAACATCATAAGAAATAGTATTTGAATTTCATTCCGCTGAAAATACAGCAATTAAAATAGGTTGAAGCCCAGGGCAGATAAAGATATTTAATTTTCTTTCTTTGGAATTATGTATACCATGCATAAAATGACATCTTTTATAGAAAAGTCAATGTGTTTTACATATTTGGTATGTTTCAGGAGGAGCTTTCATAGAATAACAGAATGCCCTGAGATAGAAGGGATTCGTAAGGATCATTGAATCCAACTCCTGGATCCATACAGGACCACCCAAAAATCACACCATAAACTTTCCTTATTCTTAGGGGTCAATTTCATAGATAAACCATGCCTTTTGTTTATACAGGCTTATATTTGAATTATGGTGACTAAACAATCTAGACATGGAGTGGTATGGCTTCAGTCTTTCATTTATCATGCTGGATGTCTGTAGTAATTTCACTGACATATTTATACTTGCATAATGCAAGTTCTACACAGCCAAGAGCAGTACAAGCCTTCAGCTGACATATACCCCCATCTCAAACGTTATGCTAAAATCAAAGATCAAAATATCAAGAAAGTGAAAATAAAGTATGATTACAGGAACTTACTACAAAAAATCTGCAGACAGTAAACCAAATGTACCAAAAGCTTGAACCTTGCTATCTTCTTCACCACACACCCTCATCAGCAGTCATCTCTATTTTGCTTAAGTAATCTTCCACTGGCACTGAAACATCCATCTCCCTTCACTACCAACTTTATTGCTTTATCAGTATTTACTGACTTGCATGTTCTTAGTACAAGAGCAGCAAATCTCCTAAAGCCATTTCTACGAGGTATTCTTAAAAATAACTGTGTTCAAAAAGGTGTCACAGCTCAAGGAACTGGCTTTGTCCATAACACCCAGTATTGCTGTGGCAGCAATTACATTTGTGCAGCACAATATTTGATTGCTTGTCTTTAATTCATTAAAGCAGTGCACATCAGCAGACTGCCAATACAGACAGCCCTTGGAACGGGTTGTGCGATGACGATTGGTGTTCGCTACGTGCTTATGTGTGCTTTGCGCTAATTACAATTGCGGTATCAGCGAGGTACGTGTACTGTGTCTGGTTAGGATGGAGTTAGCTGTGCTCTGGACTTGTATCTCCAGGTCTGCTGCCCCAAAGGCCAGCAGGCTGGGGATGGGCTGAAGGTGGGGAGAAAAAGAGCCAGGACAGCTGAACTAAACTCACCGAAGGATATTCCGTACTGTATGATGTAATGCTCAGCAATAAAATCTGGCTGAAAGAAGGTGAAAGGGGGAACTCTGTGAAAGCGTTGGCCTTTTTGAGTGTACTTAGGCCTTGCTTTCCAAGAACTGGATGAATAATTTTTCTCCTTTTGCTTCCACATGACCTTTGCGTTTTTTTTTCCCCTTTTCATTAAACTGCTCCTTATCTCAACCCACAAGCTTTTCTTTCCTTTCATTGTATTTTCTCCCCCTGTGTTTCTAAGGAGGGGGAGTGAGAGAGGTGTGGCGGTGCTGAGCTGCCTATTGGTTGTTAAGCCACCACAGGAAGACAAGAATTTTTCCTATTAGGTACGTTTATGTCCCAGTAAAATGAACCTATTTCCAGTGTGCTCTGGATGCCTTTCAAGCAAGAGCTATACAGTATGTGCTCAGGATGAACTCTTGCTTCGAAAAATCTTTGTGTATCAAAGTGATGATTTTTAGATCTCTGTAGAAAAATACATACTAACCCCCTGCAATTGTTTCTCATGAGCCGTAATAACTGAAGAAATATTTATGTTCTAGTGCACTCTGATGTACCATTCTGTTCACTGTTATGGAGATTGATTTTACAACAAAGTTGCAAGGTAATTATGAATGTATCTCTCTGTTGTGTTACGTTGGAAGACTCCTACCAAAAGAAGTCACATAATAATATTTTAGAATACCCATCCAAATTTTAGGTATGGGATAAAAGTTTAATGAAAGCCTACACTGCTTGGGGAGCAAGGCTTTACTTTTTGCTTCCTCCGGAAGTCATAGGGTCTTTTAAGTTCAAATGATCAATTCGTAGTGTTTTAAGCAACATTAGGACATCCTACCACTAAACAGAGCAGCTTCTCCCTACTTCAGCCTATGTTTTTATGTCTCCTCACTTATGTTTGCACTCATATGACTAGGCTGTGTCAACACGAACACCAGTCTCAGTGCATGGAACAGAGGAGTAACAAGCAGCTCAGGCCAGGAGGATGGGTGAGGTATCATGTAAGATGGTGGCAAGCCACAGTTACACCAATATTATCTCAGCACAAAATTGGAGCTTTAGTATGCTTTATGAAAGGGGGTTTCTTGAAAATAGACATTTGGCTTTCAAATCGTTTAGTTATATTTATATATAAGCTATATATGCTATATCTATAGTTATGCTTATAATTTGTTATATTAAAAAAATAAGAATCCGCTGATTCTTTATTATAAGCCCAAGCCTAAAGTCACTGACATCTCTTTAATCTGATGGATTTTGAGTTTTCCAAATGATTCATACTTGTTAAATGATCACTGATGGAGATTTCTGCCTGAAAACATCCCTAAATACTGAACCATTCATATATAGCTCTAAATACAAGCCATTGCATTTTGAAATATCATGTACTTCCATTCCTGAGTTGTATTTTTTTTTTTGTATTTTATTAAACAAGGCTCTTCCCCAATACAGTGGAAAATGCCCTTAAAGTACATTGGCGTAGAACTTGAAATAGTTATATGAGATTCAGAGAGAAGAGAGTGAAACTCTTCAATAAGACCACTGTGTAACAGAGCCACAAGCTCCAGAAGGCACCAGGAATCTATAAATGGAAATGATTTTGCATATCTGACTGAGCTAAAGGTGTTGAAAATTCTGGAAACAAAATGGGAAAGGGTGTAACGAAGAGCATCACTTCAGATTTTTACTCCTTTTGAAAGAGTATGTTTTCTGAAAGCAAGTTAGGGGAATGAGCTAGAGCATAAATCTCAAAGTCCCTGTGCCAACACTGAACAGCTAATAGATGTTAGTTCTATGAGGAAAAAGTCCTGCTCCTCCTGTTTCAGATATTTCTGTTGATTTTTACAGGCCATTCTTGTATGATATAAGCATGCAGAGGAATTTAGAGGATTGATCTTTACCTTTTTCCTCACTCATGGAAAAGCCAGTATGAAGTGCTTGGCAGAGTTCTTGGTAGTATTACTACAGACTCCATTGATTTATGATTTGAGTCCACTGATCCCCAAGTAATTATTATTACAGATCCTTCAACAGTATTATTTGAGATGGGTTGAGATGGATCTATGGATGCAACCAAAGTAAAAAAAATAATAACTCAGAATTGTCTAATCGAGGACCATGGGAAGTTTATCTCTCGAATGGCAGCTGCTGGATAGTCTAAAGGGTGACCAGGAGCTGTGCTGCAGGACAAAGGTACCTCGTGTAAACACTGCCTTCTCCACCTTCTGATGAATATGGGAGTCCTGGCTACAGTATGATCAGTAAGTACAAATATACCTGCCAAAGTAAAGCAGCACAAGTTCTTAAACAATATTAAACGTTAGGATATCTAAATACCTGCTGTTTTCTTTTAGGGTGGACTGTATACATGATGAAATTGTTACACAGTACTAATTTAATTGCACTTATCTTTTTATGTAGTTCTAGAAACTTTAGCTAAAGACCAGAGCTTTGCAGCCTGATTTCCCGTTAAGTGTCTCACAATGTGGGGCTAAAAGCTATTTTTCTTCCTCTGGCAATATACTCAGTAAGATAGCCAGGAAAAGTACCATCACTCAAGTAATATATGTCGTTTAATTAAGTACATCACTCCCTCCATTTTTACAGCAACTGAGAGAATTATTTTTGTATTTATTTTTAGCATTTGGAAGCTTAATACTCAGCAGAAAAATATTAACAGTATGCAGAACTAGTAAAATAATTGTATTTTTCCTATTTATTCTCAGATTTTATATAAATAATTTGTAAACTTCTTACTAATATGGATCTGGAGAACTCTTAAGTCACTACAAATTTCCCACACCGAAACTTAAGGCAATCAAATATTCTGTCCAGTTTCATAACTTGATTTTCTATAGCCACGCTGGCAAACAGTGTGCCAAGTAAAATGCAGCAAACGTATTGTTGTTTGTTTCGGTTTATAGTCTTCCTGCCATGTAGATGGCAGCAGCACTCAAGCCTTGAAATTCACACCAGTGAGCTTATTCCATATCTCCATGCTTAAGAATGTTATTGTCATAAATGAACTGAAAGTAAGATTATTTTTAAGATGGATATCAGGTTAGTTACATGTACTCTTAAACAAGCCTGTAACATCATGAAGTCAATTTTTAAAAGGCCAGGTATTTTATCTGCCTGCGAATATAGATGTCACAGTTTGTTCTTTGTCCATTATGACATTTTCTTT